AAAATTGATGACTGCTAATCAGTTTCATCGAGCAAAAACGAGAAGAAGCGATCTTTCCTGGAAAAAATGAGCATAAAATTTTTGGCTGTCCGACCTGGAATTTTGTGTGATTTTCGAATTCGCAGGCAAATTTGACACAGTTTTCCTGTTGGACATTTTTCCAGAAACTTTGTGGAATTACGAGATTTTGAACGGTTTCTAGGTGGCTGTATCACTAGGAGACGTTGTGTCAGGGTCAACCCTATCGTTGGTACTTTTTGGAATTTCTTTACGCCCCCCCCCTTCATGGGCAATTTGATACGACCCCCTCTGAGACCCAAAAAACCGATAGGTGTAATAATAGGTGCAATAATATGAAAACTAGAGGTAGCGTTTTGAATATGTTGAATCGCGCCCTGGCGATGGAGCGCGTTTGCTGATCGGAAACAGGTGACGAACGGGGATATTGAAATGTAGACGAATTTTTCTTCGTTAAATTTCAGGTACTTCGGAAGATGGAGGTGGATTTTGGATCACTCAGCCTTTCTAACGAAGCTCATTTGTTCTCAAACAACTTGAAATGAATAAGTTATTAAGCAAAAATAAAATTGCACTACAATTTTTACACTCCTCTTTCTAGGGCTATAACTTCCTTCATATTCGAGCTTTTGCGCCGAAGTGATTTGATTTGGAAAATTCAAATTATTCTCTCTCCAATCATGGTGAAAATTCTTCGAAAGTTAATTTATAAAAATTTAGTACGTTGTTACTTTTTTCTGTGCAAATGCGACTTTTTAACCTTCAAACGATCATAACTTCCTTCAAAGTCATTCATTTGGGAAGCTGAACACGGTATAATAAACTACAGGATTCAAGCTTTCTAAAGCACCCAACGTTCCTGAAAAGTCAGTAGTTCAAAAATTAGTCCCGTTGTTACTTTTTTGGGGGTTTGCGGAACTATTTTTCTGGAACCGCGACTTTTCAACCTTCAAACGATCATAACTTCCTTCAAACTCATTTATTTGGGAAGCTGAACACGGTATGACAAACTACAGGATTCAAGCTTTCTAAAAAGTACCCAAACGTTCCTGAAAAGTCAGAATTCAAAAATTAGTCCCGTTGGGACTTTTTTGAGGAGCATTCTTCAAGCCATTTTCTTGAAAACGCGGTTTTCTTTCTAGGTTTCACTGGCCGTAACCTCCAGAAAAGCAATTTCTTTTGAACATAGGATGTGTTAGAAAGCTTCGAGCATGCGTGTGCAGTGGCATACCCTGCCTTGGTGTGCGCCACGCCTCCGCGCTTCTGATTCGCTGATTCATTCGAAAGCTTGTTTAGTAGGAAGCGAGGATTAGATGCATAATATACATAGGCATGAAATAGTGCATTTTATAACTGTTACATACTCAGTTTGTGTGCACGTCTGTTCTTTCCCTTCGTGCCACCGTCTATGATCAATAGGGATATTACCAAGCATCCCACTGCAGACCACCGAAAGAATGTGACCCTCTTACTCCTAAATGCGATCCTCCATCATTGGTACTTGTAGCAACATAGGGTTGACCTCACGTAGTGTATAGCTAGCGGTCGTCGCGAAGCTGCAGGCTATTTCAAGAAGGAACCGACGAGCTGACTTATTCCTTCTTCTGCTTCACTTGGAGCATCTGCTATAGCGTTCTTGGTGAGGTACAATGGTGACAACAAAAAGGTTCGTGACTCTATACGAGCGAATGTCTTGAGCGCTCAATCCTCGCTAGTTTCAAGATATCTTTCTCATAGAGATAAACAATGCGTAACCACATAGCGCGATGATCATGGCTTAAGAGCTGGAAAGATTTAGCATCAAACGGCTAATCCATTCAACATACTCACATCATCCAACCTTTGTGGTTACCATGCTTTTAGAATCTAACGGGTCGTACTAAAAGAAAAAGACTCAATGATCGCGAACAGCAGAAGAGGGCGTTACTGTTGAAGAGGGAGTCGCATCACAAAGGAAAGTAAGGTAGGGAAGGCCCCTTAATTTCGGGTTCCGCGAATGGTTTATAGTGGGGTTTTCCTTCAACCAAACGCTATTGACTACCTCTACTTCAGTTCTAATAGGCTGCCTCCTGAACAGGGTCAACCGTCAGATTGGACCGATTTTCGAAATTTTTTACGCACCACCTCTTTCTAGTCAACCCTTCACCACCTCTCCCCAAAATCGCCGTCGATGCGGAGGGTATAATGCCTACCACCAAAACGCCACTGTCGCTCACTTTCTCCATTTCCCATATGTTCCACTGCCAATTTTGTAAGGGGCGGGGGCGGGCATTTGCACACCGTCAAACGGGCAAATCTGGCGCCCAACCACTGCATACATCACATCCGTTCACTGTACATCAACGCTAGTCGCGAAATACGACCCTCCTTTCAGCGCGCAATACGACCCACTTCGTTAGAATTCGGAAAGGACCTTGACCCTGCTTCTGATTAGTAAACAGGGCTCTCTGCCCGCTGCGCGAAGAACAACGAAATAGTCGTATTGGGGCATGAACGAGGGTGTGTATCTCTACCCTCCGCGATTAAGAAGCTTAGCAAGGAATGATATCGCGCAGTGCTCTGCCCATTTGATGAAGACACCTCTTGGCCAAAAGAGCTACTAAATCATCTAGAAATTTCACATCTCTTGCAGTAGTTATTTGTTGAACAAGCTGAATTGAACTTTTTGTAAATTTTCACAAGAATGCTGGGTTGTGAACAAAACTTTCGCCCCAGGCGGGACTAGAACCCGCACCTCTCGCTTTCCGGGCAAGTGCGCTACCAGTTACGCTACCGGCACCATTTCATTCCAACTCAGCTTTTCATGGTATACGTACCATAGCTTTCAGCACTCACACGTCTAACGTGTTGAGCCGGTTAGCCGATATCGGCAATGACCGCGAGGCTGAAAGCTTTAGCAATGGATTTTGACTTGTTTTGTTTCTTTGCTTGTTTAAATCGGAACTGTTTAACGCCGCGAGTTCGCGTTCCGCAGAATGTTTTGACGATGACGGGAGCAAACAAAAACAAGTCAAAAATCCACTTGCTACAAGCGTTCAGCTCGCAGCTCAATGTGGCGATTACAACACTGGTTAACAAATAAGCGCAGCAGATCATGCTTAAGACCTGGAAAGATTTAGCATCAAACGGCTAATCCATTCAACATACTCACATCATCCAACCTTTGTGGTTACCATGCTTTTAGAATCTAACGGGTCGTACTAAAAGAAAAAGACTCAATGATCGCGAACAGCAGAAGAGGACGTCACTGTTGAAGAGGGAGTCGCATCACAAAGGAAAGTAAGGTAGGGAAGGCCCTAAATTTCGGGAATTCCGCGAAGTTGATAGTGGGGTGTTTCCACTCAACAAACGTATTGACTACCGCTACTTCAGTTCTATAGGCGGCCTCCAGCCCGAACAGGGGGTCCACGTCAGATTGAGACCGATCTCGAAAATCTTTCACGCCACACCCCTCTAGTCAACCTTCACACCTCTCCTCCAAAATCGCCGTCGAGCGGAGGGTATATGCCTACCACAAAACCGCAAACATTCTCTCACTTTCTCTCCATTTCACCATATTTCCACTGCAACATTTGTAAGGGGGGTCGAGCGGGGGGCATTTAAACACCGTGAAACGGCAAAACTTTAGCGCGCCAACCAACTGCATCATCACCTCCCTTACTGTAACATTAACGCTACCTCGCGAAATACGACCCTTCCTTTTTCCCACCCCAAATACGACCCCCCTCGTTAGAGTTTGTCCAACGCACGGTTGACCCTGCTTCTGATTAGTAAAACAGGGCTCTCTGCCCGCTAAGCGCAGGAAGAAAACGAAAAAGTCGTATGGTGGCATGGAACGAGGGTGTTATCTCTACCATCCGCGATTAGAAGCTTACGAGGAATGAATATCGGCAGTAGTTCTTCCCATTCGATGAAGACACCTCTGGCCAAAAGAGCATAACTAATTCCTAGAATTCACATCTCTTGCAGTAGTTCTTTGCATTGAACAAGCTAGAAATTGAACTTTTTCGGAAATTTGGCACAAGAATGCTGGGTCTCGTGACAAACGTTCGCGCAGGTGGCACTAGAACCCGCACCTCTCGCTTTCCGGGCAAGTGCGCTACCAGTTACGCTACCGGGGCACCATTTCATTCCAACTCAGCTTTTCATGGTATACGTACCATAGCTTTCAGCACTCACACGTCTAACGTGTTGAGCCGGTTAGCCGATATCGGCAATGACCGCGAGTGAGAGCAATTGAGCGAATGCGAGTTGGACTTTGTTTTTTTTTTTGCTTATTAATCGGAACTGTTTAACGCCGCAGTTAGCGTTCGCAGAATGTTTTGACGATGAGTGAACAAACAAAACAAGTCAAAAATCCATTGCTAAAGCTTTCAGCCTCGCGGTCATTGCCGATATCGGCTAACCGGCTCAACACGTTAGACGTGTGAGTGCTGAAAGCTATGGTACGTATACCATGAAAAGCTGAGTTGGAATGAAATGGTGCCCCGGTAGCGTAACTGGTAGCGCACTTGCCCGGAAAGCGAGAGGTGCGGGTTCTAGTCCCGCCTGGGGCGAAAGTTTTGTTCACAACCCAGCATTCTTGTGAAACATTCGCAACGCGAACTGCGGCGTTAAAACAGCAGTTAACAAACAAAAACAAGTCAAAATTTCGTAAAATTGTTGTACCCTGCAAGCTTTCAAGTTATTCGGATGCTTTTTTATTGAAAGTGAATATCTTAAGGCGAGGTTCAGTAGGGCACACATGAGCAGTCGCGATTGAGAATGGCGGTAGCTTTTCGGAGTGATAAAAATTTGGGCTCCTCTAGTCATTCGACACTGTGATGCCTTCCTCTCCTTGCATTCTTCTGGCATGATAGAATGTATCCCATGTTTAAACGAGGGTTGTAGCATTTTACCCGTACTACCCTTGCCCGTCCCCGGCACTTTTGTCGCCACTACTTTTTCTTCTATCTCGGGGAAAAGCACCAAAAGCTCACCTCAAAAACGCGTTTCTCCCAATGTGAGCCTGCTGTACCACCTCCGCCCTGGTTCTCAATTTCTGCTCCCTCCAAAGTTGAACAGTTGAAGTGCCGGCGTGCTTCTTCACGAACTTTCGGAGTTACTATCATAAAGACGTCATGTTTCATCTAAATATACACTTGTTTGCACACAGTAGGATTTTGTTAGCCTATACAGAAGGAAAAACACAAATTTCCAAATTTTATCGCGTTTTCTGTTATAAACATCTTATAACAGCTCACAGGTCCATCAGAGCTCTCCCAGTCCAATCGCGTAAATCGCTGGACAACATTCGGAATAGTGAATAAAGGCCTCCCACTGAAACAAGCGAATTTATTTGAGTGTCATTCTGCACATTTACCCTGGCACATCTACCAGATCACTCGGGTCTGCACAGAGCCAATGGCCTAATCGACTGAAGGCGACAATGATGATAAGTTGATGTCGATGAAATGTGAAAGCAGAGCAGTGTCAAATTGTGCTTCGGTAGACAAAAACCAAGAGAAACGGTCAAAGATTCGGGAGGCGTGACTGCAATTCCGCCCGTTGATCTCAGGAGTGGACTGGTTCACTGCTAACATATAGGTCGGTTCGGCTAAGCTGAACGCTGGCTTCATGTCGAATGCGACTGGAATAGAGTTTCTGCCCTCTGCTTCAGCAGTGTTTTTCAAAACTAAAACCGCATGTGACTGTACATACCAGCATTCCGCGTTATCATTCCTTCAAAGTGAGAGTGTTGAACGTGTTCAAGCCGAGGGTGCTTTTGAGAATGTCCTCTGCACCTTATCAGGCTGCTAATAGAGTACGTGTCTACTTGGACATGACTGTCTACTTCGGACGACTTACTGTTCTCCATCATGAGAACCTGACTTATTGCCGTTGCTGCGTTGCAAATACATTTGGCATATATTATACATAGCAACAACAACGAAAATCAGCCCCTCAAAAGAGAGCGTAATCTTGAAAGTGGGCAATGTTACAGGTGTTTCTGCGTTGAAGGGAATGGAGAAGCTGGCGAAATTGCCAAACTTTGCATTACGCGGTGTGTATCTGAAAACTACTACTGTGCCATGGAATCGCCCAAATCACAGCCTCCCAGGGCGACCTGAAGACTTACTGAGTGCGTCTAATGTTTGAGACATTTGAGATGTTTCAATTCATTCACCTGTATCACCTGTCGTCCCGTTGATCGTCGATTTGCTCGAGCGGGCGCCAGCAACGTCTCCATTCGTCCCTGTCGCGTGCTAGAGTGGTCCAGTGGATCCTCCTTGCTCGAGGGACACGAAGTCCATCATTCCTTTCGTTCAGAGCTTTCGTGAAGAAGTCTGACCATCGGGCCGGCGGTCGTCCAGGTGTTCGTTTGACGTCCCGAGGGATCCAGTCGGTAACCGCTCTGGTCCAACGGTCATCGCAAAATCGCATGACGTGTCCGGCCCACCTTATCTTCGATTCCTTGGCGAAAACGGCAGCGTCCCTGATCTTCGATCGTTGGCGTTAGTTCGAACTCCTGACTTGCGTGTATAGGGTTACTCCTAGCATCGTCCTCTCGACAGCGCGTTGGATAACGCTGACCGCATGCTCGTCCTGCCTGCGCAGAGTCCAAGTCTCTGAGGCGTAGGTTAGGGCAGGAAGGACAGCGGAATCGAAGAGGTGGGCACGGAGCCGGATGTTCTTCGTCTTCTTCACTACTCCCTCGATGTTCTTAAACGCTCCCCAAGCCGCTCGTTTCCTCCTGCTCAGCTCTGGAGCTAGATCGTTCATCATATTGATTTCCCGACCTAGGTACACGTAGCTGGAGCATTCGGTGATGTTCGTTCCGTTGAGCGTGAATGGGGCATCAGGAACCAATCCGTTTCTCATAAACATCGTCTTCGTTAGGTTCAGCTGTAGACCAACCTTACCACAGGCGCAGTCGAAATCAGCCAGCATTCGCTCCGCTTGCTCGATGTTCGGCGTTATAAGAACGATGTCGTCAGCAAAACGAAGGTGGTGTAGTTGCCGGCCGTCGACCTTCACTCCCATGTCTTCCCATTCCAGTTGACGCATGACGTTCTCGAGAGCGGCGCTGAAGAGTTTGGGCGAGATGGTGTCGCCCTGTCGAACCCCTCTCTTGACGTCGATGATGACCTCCTTGTAGAATGGTGAGATCCTGGGGGTGAGTTTCTGGTCGTAAAGTTGCTGTAGAGCTCACGAAGAATCCTGATGTACTGAGTAGGGACGCCCTGGTTGCCCAAGGCTTCGATGACCGCTTCTGTCTCCACAGAGTCGAAGGCCTTCTTCAAGTCGATGAACGTGAGACAAAGCGGCATCTTGTACTCTCGTGAAACTTCAATGAGTCTGTAACCGTGTGGATATGGTCGATCGTGCTGAACCCTCTTCGGAACCCTGCTTGCTCGCATGGCTGTCCTTCATCTAGTATTCTGCCGATCCTGTTAAGGATGACTCGAGTGAATAGCTTGTAGATTACAGACAGCAGGCAGATTGGGCGATAGTTGCCAATGTCGTCCAAGTCTCCCTTCTTGTACAGCAACACGGTCCTGCTGGTTTTCCACGGAGTGGGTACCTTGCATTCCGACAGGTAGCGCGTGAAGAGTCGAGCCAGAGTTCTGATGATAACTGGCGGTGCGTTCTTCAGATGTTCCGGTTTAACCCTGTCGAGACCGGGCGCTGTACAATTCTTCACCGACTTGATGGCGTGTCGGACTTCGGAAGAGAGAACTGAAGGGGACAACGTATCCATCTCTTTTTTTACGGCGGTTGATAAGTAGGCAGATGGACATGGCTATCGAAGAGATCCGAGTAGAAGTCGTGGATGACTTTCTCCATTGCCCTTCGGGATGCAGTAACTGTTCCATCCGGACGTCGGAGGCAGGTCATCTTGGTCTTGTAGCTGGCAAAGCTTCGGCGGGCATTGCGGATGCTCCTCCCAGCCTCTGCTGCTTCAGCTAATACTGCTGCTCTTCGCTCCTTGAGATCTTCCTTTATCGCCTCTCTGCATAGCTTCGCAAGCTCGGACGTGAGTGGGTGATTGCCTGCAGCTCGTGCGGCTCCACGCTGGCGTATCAGTTCGAGAGTTTCCGGAGACAGACGTCCCTTGGTGACTTTCAAACTCTCTGCCTTCAACAATCGTGAAGATGTTCAACGAGCCGATAGTACTCCTCGTCGATGTTTTCGATGACGGAATCCTCCCATAAGCTGACGAGGGAAGCGAAGTGGTCCCAGTTGATGACTGTCCTGGGGCTTCGCTTCCTGAACTTTGCTGCTCTCTCAACACGCATCGAGAAGTGGAATCTTGCGCGGAGGAGACGATGGTCCGATCCCGTGTAGAACTTCGGAACAACAGCGACGTCGGTCAGGCAAAACCTTCGATTGAAGATGATGTGGTCTATCTCGTTATGGAACTGTCCATCAGGTGACTCCCAAGTCCAACGAAGGTGAGGGGGCTTTTGGAACTGTGAGTTACCATGGATGGTGTTGGTCGACATGATAAACTCCGACAGTCTCTCACCCTGCTCATTCCATTCCATTCCGTGAGTACCGATGTGAAGTTCTTCAGCCGTTCTTCTTGGGCCAATCTTAGCGTTGAAGTCGCCGACGATGACCTTAAAGAAGGTATGATCTTCCCTGTAGAACTTCTCCAATTCCATATAGAATGCTTCGTGTTCTTCTTCGTCGTAGCTGGATGTTGGTGCGTAGGCGACGAAGATTGTCAAAGCAGGAGTTGAACCACATCTTCTCAATCTCAAACGTCCGATTCGGGTCGTAAGGCTTTCGTACGAATCGATGTTTATGGCCAAGTGCGTGTTGACGAGGACACCCACACCGCCAACGCCTCTGCTGTCGCATGTTCCAAGGAACAGTTCTTCTCCAGTATCGAAAACGGCGTGTAGCGGGCGGTGCCTTCTCGTCTCGGTCAGTCCGATGACGTCGTACTTGATCTTCCTGGCCTGCATCATCAGATCTTCGATGTGAGCTTCGGATGCAAGCGTTCGTGCGTTGAAAGTACAGATCGCCATCTTAGTCCTTCTTCGTTTAGGCAGCCTATCCGGGCCCTGAGATTGTAGCAGCCTCCAGAGCAAAGGGGCGGCCAGAATCTCAGGGTTCAATTCAATTACTTTTTTATTTCTCTGATGTATTTGTTCAGCAGTAGTATACATCGCCATTATTACCAACATATCGCCAACGTCAGGTTAGGTGCTCTCGTCTCTCTTATAGAATTCCATAGAGTTCTGATCCGAAAAAATTGGATGTCGATGATGGTTTTTTGATCATAATGGTGGATTGAAGTAAGCTCACTTCTCTGAATAGGCTGAACTAGAAAGGCCTGGCGCTGGTCGTTGGTCGAGTGCTACAAGGCGGAGCTAAAAGAACTGACCGCCCGAGAGTCTCCAATTTTTCATGAATTTTCTTAGCAAAGGTGGACTCGAACGACCTCAGAAAAAATAGATTTTGTCTTACTTTGCTTTCAAGTTGAAGGCGTTGCCATCAAGCTGTCGACGATTATCTTCATCACTGACACTGGTATTAGTTGGTGCCGGTTTCAGCGCAAAGCCCTCCCGTATTGCGCCAACGACTCAGGAAGTTAGAATTCAGAGGGAGTTGGGTTTTGCTGTCAGAACTCCCGAATCGTTTAAGCTAAGCTACTGCGGCTCGTGGATTTGTTAGCACACTGCACCCAGTCCACATCACCGGTGAGTATGGATGGTCATTCGAAGGAACTATGGGAAACCAACGGGAACATGATGATGTCAGATTGGGTTAGAGCTGATTCGGGCTCAGAGCATGGAGAGACAAACTTCATATATTCAAACATTAGCGACTTTGTCGAGATGTTTCAGTACGACAAATAGCGCTCACTTTGTTCATATTCCTTACTATTGGCACCTGATGGAGCATCGAGATTCGTCAGTCACGGGGTGGTTGGAGTGTGGATCATCTTCGAATAAAAGGAGGGAACCCTGAGTAGAGGTAACCACCATCGTGGATTGAGAGAGCGTGCCCTCAACTATCTTCTGGTTAATCCTCCATATAGCCTGGCGCGTGGAAGATCCTAATCGGTAATCATGAAGAAAGAGGCTCAGAAATAGGTTTCGAAGAAATTGGAATCCTAGCTAAAGAAAGCAACAAGCAAACGAGATGGCTAGCCTGTCGGATAGGCGAGCTTGTGTGCTGGGTTGCAGGACATCTTGGAAAGCTTCAATACTTATCAAAAGATTTTTACAACAATACATGTAAAGAGTCTTAAAATTATGGACTGACCTAACACTATGCTAGAAAATGCGTTCCAACCTGTCAGGTGCTCCGGCGCCGGGAAATTCCTTGAAAAGCGCTGTCGAAAAAACAAATGCATGAATGAGTTCGTGCTTGATAGTGGCTTCCCATTGATGGACTTCATTTGATTTCATATTATCAAGCGCATCAGGACAAATATTCACCTGACCGGCTATAGGTCTAAAATACTAAAGATGAGGGAAGGATGAACGTATGTAGATTCAAGGGAATATTTAGCTACTAGGTTGTTGGAACAATCCATCTGTAATTGTAGTAGTTGGTAGTGCCACTGTCACTGAGACACAAACGAGTAT